TAATATGTTACAATATCTTATATAAAAGGGAAATATATCATATTTTTAAAAAAAATAAAAAACTTAAAAGAAACTGATAACTACAAAAAATTAATTACAATAAAATAAAAATATATATAAGAGAGTATAATAGAGATAAGAAAGATAAGAAAGTATAATAATAAAATATATAAAAATATATAGAATAATAAAAATTTATATATATGCAATTAATTACATTACACATATGTTTCAAACAAAAAATATCATATCTAATAGTGGTTATGTTTCTTATATTTTATATAATAAAATTTAAAGAAATAATAAGTAATAAATTTTTATTTACCAAAAACTGTAAATAATTACAACGAAGTAAAGAAATTATATTAATTAAATACGAAGGAAATGAATTGTGAAATACACTTCTCAATTGTATGTTTTAATATTAAATTATGAAAATATAAATTGTTTTATTATATTAAATAAGAATTGACACTGTTTTTTATTTTATTATTTTTACTAAGACAGTTTCTAAATATTCAAACTATCAAAAAACACAATGACATGAAATAGTAGTTAAATTGATTTAAAAGTCAATTGTACAAACATAAAACAGTGAAATGTATAATACATACGAAATGAGCGCTGTAGTATTTTTAAGCGCGAATTTTAATATCAGGTTAGAAATTTATTTTTCATTCAAAAATTCAATAATTAGTTGAATTAATAATAAATTTTTTAATAACATAACATATTTAACATTTTTTAAAAATATAAATAATTATTTAATATGAAATAATAAAATTAATATCAATTAATAAATTATAATTGATCAATACAAAATATCTCAAATAAATTTCGAGTTCTTTAAGAAAGTTAAAATTTTTTAATTAAATATAATTAACAAAAATATTTAAAAATGAAATATAATAATTTCAATAATAGTAATTATTGTATAATATTATAATAATTATTATTATAATATATATATATATATTATAATAATAATTATTATAATATTATACAATAATGACTATTATTGAAATTATTATATTTCATTTTTAAATATTTTTGTTAATTATATATAATTAACAAAAATATTTAAAAATGAAATATAATAATTTCAATAATAGTCATTATTGTATAATATTATAATAATTATTATTATAATATATATATATATATTAAAAAAAATATAAAAAAAATATTATTTATTATTTAGATTTTATAATTATTGGATTTTTTGATAATTTAGTTATTTTTTATTATTTTTTTAGTAATCAATTTTTTAATATAATAATTATATTAAATATATAAAACTAGAAAAAATTAATGGTAAAAAATTTTAGAAAATTATCACATAAAAAATTAAATGAATAAATAAAATACTCATTAATATTTATTATTTATGAAAAATTATATAATATATAAAATTTACATTAAGTTATAACTAAATACAGATTTAATATATCTAAATTTACTATCTAAATTTATAGTATTCAATTTATTTTTTTAATAAATAGTAAATATATGTAAAATTTAAACTTTTATCATTATTATAATTTTTTAATATATTCTATTTTCACTATATTTTAATATCACTTCTTCAATAGTTTTTCCATATTTATTTAATTGTAAAATAGCTAATAGTAATATTTGTACTACCCAGAGATATAAATCAACATTTTTGTGAATTTTAATTTTATGTTCAAATGCTTCAAAATTATACTTAAATTCTATATTACATAATAAACATATTGTATCATGATATTTCAAATAATGAATTTTATAACATTGAATATTTGAAAATTGTTTTGAACATATTATACAACTGAAATATTTGCTTTTTATATTACTAAATCTTTCATATTCATAAAGAGATAGCAAACGTTTCATTCCAAGAATATCTATTATATCATTTTGAAAATTTATATTTTCATGAGTTGATTGAATATTGTTTTTTTTATAAGATAAATCAAAAACAATATGATGAAATATTAAATGATTTGTTAATTCATATGTAAGGTATAAATTATTACATATTTCACATTTGTTCCATTTGTGCCATTTTTTTAAATGGAGTTTCATTTGTAATGTCGTATCACATGATATGTTACAATTTTTACACTCAAGTATTTTTTCATTATTATATAATATATTAGATGTAATATTTAATTTTGAAAGTTTTCCATTCAATTTATCTAATTGTTTTAAAAATGTATCATTATGTATAGCAAAGATATCTTTATTATCTGATAATTGTGATTCTTTTTCATTAAATTTAGTATTAACATTTACATTATATACTGTATGAGATAAAGAATCTTTTGCAGATGCAGAGAAATCTATAAAGTTGTCTACATTATTACTGGAATCACTATTCATTGAATGTATGGTTTCATGTCTTATTAACATATATAATGTAAGAAAACTTGATTTACATATCTTGCATTTATGTGGACCTATAGTTTCTAAATGGGTATTCATATTATGTTGTGTTAAAGATATGGCATTAGGAAAACTAAGATTACATCTTTTACAATTCCAAGAAGTAACATTAGTGCATATATGAATATTCACCATTGCAACTGAAGTAAGAATTTTATTACAATTATCACAAATATGAATTACAGATTCATCATTATGACAATAATATTTATGTCGTAAATAATTTCGAAGTAATGCAAAATTTTCTTTACATGGACTACAACGCCATTTTCTATTTTTTTTATTTATATTCTTATTAGGAATTTGATAAATTGTTTTCTCATGTACTTTATTTTGCTTTTGTAGAATTTTTTTTAATATTTTTATTTTCAATAACACATTATTTTCCTTTCTAGATATATAAGTATTTTTTCTAGATAGATTTTTTATTTTATGAGGATTATTAAAATATGGTATCATTAGTGAATTTGGAAATTGTGAACTTTCAAATAAAGAATCATGTAAAAACATATGTTCTCTTAATATTGTTAAAGAATTAAATTTTTTATCACATATATTGCAATATAGTTCTGTTAAATTATAACTATTATTATTTTTACTTATATTTATAGCAAAATTAGAATTTTTATTAAAATTTATTGGAAATTTATTTTCAATTATATTTTCTATAAATTTTTCTTTATTAGTAGTATTTGTTGTATATTTTTTTGCAATATTCATACTGAATTTAATTAATTTTTGTTTTTTTATACCCTCTTTTGTTTTTTGTGTAAGATTTATATTCAATATATAATTGCAATTATCATTTTCATTCATAATATTATCTTTTTTAATAACATATTCCATATTTTCATTTTTAACATTAATTTTTTTATCAATTATTTCTGATTGAATTGAAATGTTTTGATTTGGTTTTTCTAAATTTATAATAGAATTTATTATATTATTATTTTTAAAAGTTTTAGTATGATCTTTAGAATTTTTAGAATTTACATTTTGTAAAATTAAATCATTTTCATATTTTATTGCTTTTTTACTTTCTTGTATTTTTTGTCTTTTATACATATCAGCATGAGAATTATTTACATGTGTAGACATGTGAGATAAGAACATATATTTTCTTTTATATTTTTTAGAACAAATATTACAAGTAATAAAAAAAGTTTTTTTATATTTTCTATCTTTATATTTTTGATTAAAATAATTATTAAAAGAATTAGAGTTTTGATTTTGATGTGACTTTGAATTTGACTCTGAGATGATTGTAATATTATTTGAATATTTCTCATCAATATTTAATTTTTTTATATCCTTTATTTTTGGAATTTTCTGCATTATTTGATTATCATTTATTTGTTTCTCTTTTATTTTTACTTTTGATAATAAATTTTTATTATTTGAATTATAATATATATTGTTCTTAAAATTTATTTCTTTTGTATTAATACAAAACTCATTTATATGATTATTATGTTGTGTGTCAATTTTTTTTTCTAGATTAGAAATTTCAATTGCTTTAGTAGTAATGTCAAAAATATGATTTGTTTTAAATTTTGATTCATCTTGAAATGTAGTACATGATTCAGAATTTTTAACTATTTGTTTTGTCTCTTTATTTTTTTTTATACAGTAATTAAAATCATGATATTTTTTAATATGTTCTTCAAAACTACTCATATGATCAAATATTTTTGAACAACAACAGCATTCAAAAATAAATTGATTATTATTATTTAAATTTAATTGTTTGTTGAAATTAATAATAATAACTGCAAATTTATCTTTTTTGAGTAATATGTCTTTTTCACATTTTAAATGTATATTCATTAAATGTTCTTGAAAATGAGATAAAGAATTAATTTGTAAATTACATAATGTACATTCAATACATAATTTTTCATCATTTATAAAATTTATTTTATTTGAAAATTGTTGTAAAAGATTAATAATTTCTTTACATTTATTACATATTGCTAAACTTTTTATTATCCCATGTTCATGCAATTTTTGAATTTTTAATTTATGTCGTGTTTTTCTATTTATCATATTGTCTTTAGTTTTTAAAAAAAATTTTAAAATATTTTCTAATAAATTTATGTTTTCTAATTTATGTTCATTATCTTGTAATATTTCTATGTTATTAATTTCATTTTGTAAAGACATTTTATATGTATTTCTTTCAAATTTTATATTTGTTATATTTGTATCAATTCCTTCCATTATATTTTCTTTGAATTCCGTACATTTTTTTTCAAACACTGATTTATGATATAATACATTTATTTCTTCATTTTGTTTCAATTCAGTAGTTCTGTATTGTTTGTATGAACAACATTGTGTTTTTATGATATCTTTTGTTTCATAATATATTCCCTTATTATCTTGTTTCTTTAATTTATTTGCAACATAGTCTGGAATTATTTTAGATAATTCAGATAAAGGAAGATCATCTATTTTTGTCAAAGGTATTATTAACTTTTTAATATTAAAAAAGTTTTTATGCTTTGCTATATCTTTATTTATTTTGATATCATTTTTCTTTGAACGAAGCACTGTAATTTTGGAAAACTTATTTGTATTTTCTTTATTTAATATTTTTTTGCAATATTTATTTTTTCCTAATTTATTAATATGATGTTTGTATTTTTTTATTCTATGGTACATTTTTTTTGGTTTCTTTTTTTTCATTTCTAAATAACATATTGATTTTACTGTTCTTTGATTTTTGCATTCTGTATAAATATCTTTGTTTGATCTTCTAGTTGTAATAGATTTACAACTAGATTTAACTTTACAATTATTTTTCTTTTGTATTTGTATATTGCAACCATTTTCAGATTTGGAATCAACTAAGTCATGAATTTTATTTGCTTGTGATTGCTTCATACTTTTATGTGCTTTTATTTTCAAAGATTTTTTTTGTAATGATTTTACATTACATTTAGATAAAGCAGTCTGTTGAAGTTTTCTATTTGATTCATAATTAGCTTTATGTTGATTTTTTAACATTTTATCATTAAAAATATTATTATTACAAAAATTATAGCATTTGCGATTTTCTAAAAAAATAAATTGATGTTTACAAATTATGATTTGCTTAATTTGCTTACAAATTATAATATTGCTTTATGATTAATTTTTATTATTTTTATAATTTTTATTATTTGATATTTGATATTTTTAATATTTTTGGTTTTTTAATATTTAATTTTACTTAATTCTTGCTATTTTTTATTAAGAAAGTAAAAATATTTCTTTATTCATAATATTTTTAAATTTTTTAAAAATCGTTCTTGAAGAAATACTTAAATCTTCTTGTACCTTTTTTCTTTTTTTTATTAATACATTTTAATTTTCACTTATATAATTTTCTAATATGATCTTGCAATTATAATTTTTCTTTTTATTATATTTGTTCTTTAATATTTTATATTTAGAAAATTCTCAAACTTTTTAAAAAGTTAAATTAAAAAATTAAATTTAGCAAAAATAATTAAATTTTATTCTTATAATAATAAGTTAATATCTTAACAATTTTTCTAGTTTTTATATTATTTTTTATATTTTTTTTTTGTTAAATTCTTT